TCGGTCTATCACCATGATCGTGATACCAGGACTGTTCCACTATTTGTGTATCACCATGACCGTGATGCCAGGACTATTCCACGATTTGTCTATCACCATGATCGTGATGCCAGATCTGTACCTTTCAGAGGCACATTATTTATACTGAAGTAATTGGAAAAATGGTTGTTAAAAGTATTAATATCCTGTATTCAAATGATCATCCCTCAACATTTTATTATTCATTAATCATCCCTGGCTGTGTCAATTATTATGTTTACATCTGTACACTGGAAATTTTCTATTTGTACTGTATCTTTGCTTTTGCTAGTTTCTGTTGTTGAACCAAAAAAATTCCCTGCCTGCATTTCAATTTTTGCTAAAGTTAATTTTAATCTATACAATGAAAATTTTTTGTCTTTAAGATAAGACCGTCAGCATAAGGCCACAGCAAAACAGAGATCTTGCTAATTTTTGTGCCTTTGTTAATTTCTGGCTGATGATAGAGGCTGCTAATATCTATTTAAGTTAGCAGCTAGAGAAATGGCTATCAGACTAAGGATGTGCAAAGCCCAGGCCATTCTCTTTGAGTCTTTTAAACTATTTCAGAAGAGAAGAGAATAGGCAGATTCCACATATGTGGACAGGGAGGAGAATACACTAAAAGACACAAACAACAGTTTCCCAAAACAGAATAGAAAATCCATTAAAATTCATATTTTCTCATGAAACGTAATCTCTCTAAACTTAGCCATTATATGAAAGTAAATTCTTAATATGCCACACTACATTGACTGTTGACATTCATAAGAGTTCATTTCCATGTTTGTTATTTGAAAAAGCAAAAGGACTATAATCCTTTTTTTTCTTTGCCATGATCTTTTTAAGATTGAGGATTGTTTTTCAAAATAAAACCAAAGATTTTAAAGATTGAAAATTGGCATTAAAATTTATCTTCTCAAAGTAATGATGTTTAACTCAGGCTGTCTTATTCCTGGTTGTAGTATAAATGTCAAGTGATCATTTAACCATTCTTTAAATGTTTCAAATTACTGGGAACAAACCACGTTCCAGGCTGTATCTTTCTTTGTGTCTTTATTTTACTTTAAGTTCTGGGGTACAGGTGCAGATCTTGCAGGATTGTTACACAGGTATACACATGCCATTTTGGTTTGCTACCTCCACCCCTCATCACCTACATTAGGTATTTCTCCTAATGCTAACCCTCCCCAATCTCCCCACCCACTGCTATCCCTCCTCTAACTCCCCCACCCCCACACAGGCCCCAGTGTGTGATGTTCCCTTTCCTGTGTCCATGTGTTCTCATTGTTCAACACCCACTTATGAGTGAGAACATGCAGTGTTTGCTTTTCTGTTCCTGTGTCAATCTGCTGAGAATGATGGTTTCCAGTTTCATCGATGTCCCTGTAAAGGACATGAATTCATTGTTTTTTAATGGCTGCATAGTATTCCATGGTGTATATGTGCCACAATTTCTTTAACCAGTCTATCTTCGATGGGCATTTGGTTTTGTTCCAAGTCTTTGCTATTGTAAGCAGTGCTGCAGCAAACATACGTGTGCATGTGTCTTTATAATAGAATGTTTTGTAATCCTTTGGTTAGGT